AAGTGGCATAATGATTTATTGATTTGCAAATAGTCTTATTCTATTCTCTATATCTATTAAATCCCAAACTCTAAATATTTGCAAATGTAATTGCAAAGAAATGATCTTTTTTTTTTAAAGTGCAAAGACAGAGTGAGTGCACACGATGACCTTGTTAATGAGTTGTGACCGCACCAGTAGTTCTCCGTCAAGCAGCTAATTGATCAGCCCGGTTGTAACAACACATAACCTCATGTCCGACTCCCAGCTTCCTGTCTGCACTGAACCGTGTGGAAGGGGTTGACGTGTGGAAGGCGCGCTGCGGGTACCTGGCACACTCCTCTCTGGCCTTGGACGCTGCCGTCTTCTGAAAGAGCACGTTGCTGTGTTTGAAGTACTTGTCGTATTTCTCCGCTCCCTCTCTGGGGTAGATCCTCTTGAAGCCTCCCAGGTGTTTGGCTTCGTAATGCTCCATCTGCTCCACCGTGGCCGCCTGGCACTGTCGCAGCTCCTCCAGTCTGGCGGTACAACACACACACACACACACACACGCGCGTTAACGGCCACCTGCATACACACTGCATGTATGTAACAACACATGCGTCTGACAGGATCGTGCCTGGCCTCTCTGGAGCGGTTCTGCTGCAGCCGGTCCTTCACCCGGCGTCTCTCCTCTTTGGTGATCTTGCGGCGGTCACAGGCGCCCAAGTTGATGAGGACCAGGGTGTCGTACAACAACGCATCCTTCACCTCGCGGTCGAGCTGCGAGTCGGTGGTGAAACTCGGTGAGTGGTTCACCTGGACACACAGATAAAAACATGTCTTAATCAGTAATCGATTTCCTAAATCTCCTGCTGCTCAACCCACAAATATTTACTTCTAATTCCAGTGGAGAGTTTGTAAAGATACCAAACAGCTGGATCTGGAGGAAAATGTGAGTAAATGATGCTTAAGACATTTGCAAGATTTGATGTAGCCATAAAACATTTTAATATTCAACTCAACACAAACACCATAAAGAGCATTGATTCAGAATATACATGATACTGTGTGAAATTAGTTTTACAAGGGAAACGAGGGGGAAAATGTTCAGGGATTAAAAAAACCTACTTGAATAAATTTCATACATTTCTGTTATTTTCATGCAGATAAACCGTGAGGAGCCTGTGAGCAGCGATAACTAATCTGCACAGTTACACAGTTTAATAAACCGAGAGCTTTCACCTCCAGCACCCAGGGTCGGAGGCGGTGATCCAGCAGCACGTCGAAGCCCAGGATCTCGAAGCAGGCGCTGCCGCTGGTGTGGTTGGGGAAGCAGGTGTGGTAGTTATGCTTCAGGGTGGGGTGAGCAGAGATCAGAGTCTTTATGATCACGTCCTCGATGTCGCTCCACATCTTCTCTGTGTTGCAGCTGATGGACTCCAGGTACTTGTTCAGCGTGGACAGTTTTCTGCGACAGAGAAAAACAACAACAAAAAACCTGACGAGCTGCACGAAGGTGAATGTGACATATTTAGTAACAGCAATGAAACGAAAAATGATTTAACACAATTAACATCAACTACAGGAGATTTATACCGTTTGCTGCCAGTGTCCTCGTCGCGGACAAACCTCTCACTGTTCTTGTTGATTGAGTAGTTGGTGAGATGCATGCACACGTCATCCTGAGTGACAAAGACAAGGTCAGTACAGTACACAGCACCACAAAACATATAT